ATCCCAGGCGGGGGAGGAGGTGACGCAGGAGCGTGCCCTGCTAGCCGAGGGGGTTTATACCCTGTGGGCTGGCTGGGGGAGACGCCGCTGAGTCTTTCTTTCTGGCTGTTTGTCCTAAAGGCACCCGGCAGCAGGTGTGAGGTGATCTAGCCTGGCTCCCTCCGTAGCCTGGCTCCCTGGCGTCTGATGATGAGTTTGACCCCCTCCAGGGGATGCCTCCTGGACCTGCCCTGGGAAGACATCTTGGTTCCACATATCCTCTGTCACCTGCCACTGCAGCAGCTCTTGAGCCTGCAGAGGGTCAGCAAGTCGTTCCAGTCTCTCATCCAGCTGTACCTGGCCAACATGCGCTGCTTTGACTCAAGCCAGGTATTGGGTGGCTCAGAGGCTGGGGGAGACACAGACGTCCTGCTGCTCTGGAGCTAGCAGGGGAGCATCTGACTACATGGGGAGAAGAAAACCCCAGCAAGGAGTCTGGTTTCTGCTGAGGAGCTCGGGTTAATGGCTGGGGTGTCAGGCTGGACCGATGGGCTCAGGGCGGAGAGGCAGTGATTCAGGGCCCAGCAATGCCAGTGTCTTTAGCAAGAGGCCTTGGGAGGAGTGAGCCTGGAAGCTCCACCCAGGCCATTATGGGGCACTGGCTGGCTGGCAGAAACACAAGCCAGCTCCCAGTGGCACGGCCTGTTGGTCCTCACAGAGGTTGTGCAATAGAGTGGGTCTGAGGGGAGATAACTCTGTGCTTGGTCTTCAGGGAAAGCTTGTGCTGCTCTGGGAGACACTGCCTGGGACTTGGAAAGATGGGAGTAGCTGCTGTTCTGTGAGGACACAGAGTGGTCTAGCAAGGAGTTTTTAGAGAGCAGTGGTGTGGAGCTCATCATGAGTATATATATATATGCAGGGGTGATGGTGGGGGATGGAGAAGCCGGAGTGTCGTCTGGCTTGTGGCAGTAGCCTTGGCATGAGGGGAGGAGAGCCTGATGGCAGGGTTTGCCCTGGGATGAGGAGAGGGGGTGGCTTTGGTCACCACTGTCACAGTGAAAGGGAAGAGGGGAGAGAGTATTTGGTGAGGATCAGGCTGATCTGAAACCCTGGGGGATGCCTCATTCTTCCTGGGTTCTCCATGCAGATCGGACCTGCCATCCCTCGAGCTGCTTTCATTAACCTGCTGAAGGACAACGAGGTACTGCAGCAGCTGGCGCTCCAGAACTGCTCCGACTGGCTGACAGACAGGGAGCTGCTCCCGGTCATCGGGCAGAACCACCACCTGCACCAGATCCAGCTGAAGGGCTGTGCCCAGCTCAGCCACCATGTGCTGGTGGCCATCTCGCTGAGCTGCCCCAACCTGCGCCAGCTCTCCCTGGCTCACTGCGAGTGGGTGGACAGCCTGTCCCTGCGCAGCCTGGCTGACCACTGCAAGGTGCTGGAGGCTGTGGACCTAACGGCCTGTCGCCAGCTGAAGGACGAGGCCATCTGCTACCTGGTGCAGAAGTGCAGCAGGCTTAAGTCTCTGTCACTGGCTGTCAATGCCAATGTGGGCGATGTGGCAGTTGAGGAGATTGCTAAGTGCTGCCCTGAGCTGGAGCACCTGGACCTCACGGGGTGTCTGCGAGTCAAGAATGACTCCATCAGGTACTCACTAACATGGGGAGCCAGGGTGGGGATGGCAGGTGTCTGGGGCGGGGAGAGGAAGAGAACCAGACAGAAAAGTCAGATTTCTTCATGCTGAAAGCAGTGAGAGCTCACTCTGGGGGAGAAGCTGCTAGCAGGCCCTTCAGGAGAGGCACTGTGTTCTACTAACATAAAGGTCAGATCCCAGACCTACTCTCTGTGATATGCTGGGGAACATGTCTCTCGAGTTTCTCTCAGACCACCAGGGTGCTGCTCCCAAAGGGTGGTGCATGTGTGGCACAGTCATGAGCGCTGGGCTGCTGGGGGTAGAGAAGAGGGCGAGTGGTGCACTTGGGAATCCTGGCTTGCAACCTGCATGTGCTCCCTTTCTTGGCAGGGTCCTGGCTGAGTACTGTCCCAAGCTGCGCTCACTGAAGGTGAAGCATTGCCACAACGTGGCTGAGTCCAGCTTGAGCATCCTTCGAAGCCGTGGGGTTGAGCTGGATGTGGAACCTCCGCTGCAGCGGGCTCTCGTTCTCCTGCAGGACGTGGTTGGCTTCGCCCCTTTCATTAACCTCCAGATCTAGAACTGCTGCTGCTGGGGAGGGGGGGACTGACATGACGCTGGGATCCCGGGAGGATGCCGGAACTGTCTGCTGCAGGGACGTGCAGAGGGAGAGGTCGGTCCCGTTGGCAAGGCTGGCCCAAGTGGGGCTCACTCTTTCTTCTGGGGCTGTTTAGCAGCCACTGGGTGTTCGTGAGTGGGCTTCGTTGGTGCCTCTGGGGAAAGTAACTCCTTCTGCAGTGGCGTGGAGAGAGCAGGTCACTTGCAGGAACATCATGGTGCTGAACAGGCCTTGGCCAGGCCAGCTAATAGATAGAATTTATTATTTGTTGTATTTTAAATCTCTAAGTGGCAGCTGTCCAGAGAGCAGGAGACTGTTTGATGGGGACTGTCCCCTGGGGTGGGTGTGCAGGGCATGCCAGCAGAGCTGTTGGGAACAAACCAGGCCAGCTGGAGCAGAAAGCAGAAAAGCTGCCAGCCCTCCTCTTGGTGGAGGGCAGGCCCCTCTGGGAGGAGGGCAGAGCAAGCCCAGCTCCAGCCCACAGCCACTGGACAGCCTGGCACCAGAGGGCTGGCATGGCCTTGGTGCACGCAGTGTGTCCAGCCCTGGGGTGCTGGTTTAGGCTGGTGCAAGGTGGGAGTTGTTTTCAGGGGGAACATGCTCCTAGCTGTTTTCACTGACAGAAAAGCACCAAACCTAGCTGTTTCGTCACTGAAGACAGTTAGTAATTGCCGTTTGTTTCTTCCAGACTCTGACTTAACATTTCAGTAGCGCCCAAGCCTGCTACTATATCCTGCTCTGTGTCGTGTGGCTGGAGCTTTGGCACTCAGTCGTGGTGAGAAACAGCAGGAGGCCTGGGCATGCCATCAGCTGGAGTTTATAGAGTGCTGCAGGTTGTGTTGGTGGGGAGAGCCAGACTCTGGTCTGGAGTTCAGCCTCAGTCCTTTTATCCACAAATTAACTGTTTGGTTAACCAAACAGCAACCACATCTTTTGCACATGATGAAGAGAGTAATCAGGGGAAGAGAGAATGACCCTGCTCCTATCTTTGGCCCCAGGAGGGATTGGAAGTGGTGTCTGTAAAGTACATGCATGCTCCGGCTGAAATACACACCAACTCACATCATCTTTAATTAACACTGGCACTCAATTTAAAGCAACAGTGCACACAGACTTGTAAAAAGCTTGCTGCAAAAGCACAAGCCACACCTTAGATCTAAAAATGTCCCATGCAAGGAATAGCAGAGAATGCCCAGGCCCCAGAGAGCTGCTGCGGTATGCCCCTGGGGGCAGAGGGACAGCTACACAAGGAGAGAAGGTTCTTCCTTGTCATCCGGGTTAGTTGAGGAAGCTGAAAGCAGTGTCCTGGCTCCCAGGTTAGTTCCAGTTAGTGGCAGGTGGAGGAGTCCCCTTATCCATAGTGCCACGTGTCCATCCTGCCATGCCTGGCCAGTGAGGTGGAGGCTGAAGAGCAGGAGAACCTGGCTGTCAGTGGAACTTGTACTTCCTGGCTGGTTTGAGGCTGATGTAGGTTCTCTTCATCTCCTCACTCTCAGGCTTCTTGATGTCTTTGTACCTCTCTCCCTTTGTACTCACCACCTGGTTATCGATATAGCGGATCAGCTTCTTGGGAGCCTGGAGAGGAAAGACATTAACACCAAGTAAATGGACAGCCATACTGCTAGGGAAAGGACAAGCAGCAGCAGAGCTGTGTTCTCGGGGGCAGGTGCAGGAAGACTGGGGTGGGCTGCTTTACCCATTGTTTGTGTTGTGAATCTTGGACAGAATTGGGAAGGAAGTTGTCTGATGAGGGGGAGCAGGAGACATGCTAGGCAGGAATGGTAGGAACTGACAGACCCCTGCAGCACCGCAGCTCAGCTAATCTTCCCTCCTAGCTGACCTGTGGGCTCTGTGAATGAGCCTGTCTTTGGCCTGCCCCTTTGCTTTTTGGACTTGCAGCCTGATTTTCAAACCCTGTAGCCAAAGGACATTCAAACTGCTGGTGAGCTGGGACTGCTCTTCTTACCTCTTTGGGCGGAGCTGGCCGATGTGTTTTCTGATCATCTGCACTATCCACCATCATATATCTGAAACACAAGACGCATTTAGTGAACACTGTAATGCGCATTGCTTGGGGCTATTCACAGCCTATGTCCTTTCTCCCCTGACTGGTTTGTGGCTGTGCAATACGTCCTACTTGCCTACATTGCAGCTAGGAGCACTTAATGTTCCCCTCTGGATGAAACTAGCAAGAGGTGTGTTGGTCCTTCTGGTGAGAATCCAGCAGGATTCTCCTGGAGTAGCATCCTTGGCCGTATGCAAAGGGTATTGAAAACTCAGGCTGTTGAGAATGCAGATAGCCCCTGCAGAACTGAGAGGCGCCGAGGTCTGGTGTGCTCCGCTGTTGGGGCGGCTTTGCTCCTTTTCAGCCCAAGTGATGGCAGCCGAAGGAGACAGAGGTGAGACTACAGGACCAAGCTGGCTGCCTCTGCCCTGAAGAGATGCTGTTCCTTTCACACTCCACCTACTTTACTACAAAACGGGTCTGTGCTGGAAGCAGCTTCATAAAAGCATCACTTCATTCCCTGTGTGACTGAAACATCAGGACCCAAGCATTTGCTTGCTGTACTGCTGAGTTACTACTCTTGAGACTTTGGTGCTGGTTTAGCAAGCAGACAGCACAGCTGACCGTGAGTTCTCCCTCAGTAGTTAGTATAGTTGCTCCCGTGTATCTTCAGCTATGGTGATCTGCTCTCTGTACCTGTGCTTGAGTGATGTTTAAAGTACAGGATGTTGCCAAAATGTCATTAAAGTGAAGTTCCCAGAAACTAACTATCAGCTGGTGCTTTTTTGTTCCCTTGCATGTTACTCTGAAACAAACCTGCACAGGAGACAGGCAAGGACAGGGATTGCTAATTCTGCCTGGATGCTGTTCTGCCCTGCTTTATCTTCCCTAGCCCATCAGCTCTTTATTCTGTCATGGGGGAGGATGTGAAGTGGTGGAAAAGACTTGGCTGGATAAACACGTGGCTGGATAGACACATGGAATCTGCATGCCTGCAGGAGGTACTCATGAAAGCTGAGATCTTAAAGCAGATCAATGAAACCACAGTGTGGGTTCTCCTATTGAAAATTAAATGCTTTCGGAAATGAAACCAATCTAAAGCCACTTTCATTCCCAGGAAGTCCATGGGGGACTTTAGAGAGGTTTTTTTAAATGCATTGAATTCACACTTTCAGCAACTGAGATTTAATCTTCCCAGTGTTGCTGTACAGGCAGTCTCTTAAAGATATCTTTAGCCTTGTTTGGACTGTCTCCAAGGACGGAGGGATGAATGAGTTGCTGTAGTTCTACAAGTCACCATGTGTTATCTGAGCTGTAGCACAAAGTTTGTGCCTTGAACCTTTAACCGGGACCTCAGCTAATGGTACTGTGATTTCCACTACACCTGTAGGAGGCTGAAACCTCACATAGGGCCAGTGCTGTGACCCAGCTGGTGCAGGTAACCTGTTTCTGTTTCAGAAACCCAAACCTGTTTGTTTCCCACCTGATGATTGCATTTGTGCTTAGATGTGCTCAGCTATACCCGTATCAGCTTCGCAGCCTCCTTTCTAAGCGTTCTCCACCCCAAGTTCTTTATAGACCACATTATCATTCTGACCTTCCCCAAACTGCCACCATCTCCTTTACTGGGAGCAGAATAAGGGGTTCTTTGCTGCTGGGTACTTACTTCTGTAGGATAACCTGTTTTAGTTCCTCGTGGTTGGGTGCTCTGCGTGGCCGTATGAGTTCCTGGGAGGAGACAAGGCAGGCATGTGAGTGGCACAACATGTGGGGTGTACAGATGCCCCCCACTAGCTCAGTAAGCTCGGCTGCTGGTGCACTTCAGCCCCTGTGGGAAGGGGGGTGCCAGCCACAGCTCTGCTGGGGTGCTGGCTCTGCTGTGGGCATGGCCTGTGCTCAGAGCTGAGGGAGGGAGAGGGGGTGTTGTTCTGGGTGATCCTCCTGGCTCATTGCAAGGTAAGTTCCTGCGGTCAAAGCTTCTGCTTGCAGCAGACAGCTGGGACACCCGTCTGGCCCTGAGCTCTGCCCTGCTCCTTGGCCCGCTGCCACCCAGCTCAGAGTACAGTACCTTCACACCCGCACCTGCTGGGCCAATTTCCACCTTCTCCTCCACAATTAACTGCACTGCCTCCTCCAGGTTCCCCAAGGCCATGGCGAGTGCCTTCTCTGCCTGGTTCACGGTACAGGCTGGGAACATCTCCAGTAGCAGCTCCACCCCATCCTTCAAGTCATCGCCTTCCTAGTTGGAGCAAGAGACAGAGGTAAGTTGGGGATACAGCGAGGAGAGGGCTATTGAAAAGGCCCTCTGCTTTTGCACTGTCAGGCAATTCAGCTTGCCTTTAGCTGAAGACTCTCTCCTTACAAGCGTGACTAAATCCCATTCCTGAAGCTAACCAGGGGATTGTACCTTAGCAAGCACAAAGCATTGCTCTTCCTCAGTCTCCTCCCCCAGCATTTCAACTTTAAAGAAGTAGGGGTAGTAGGGCTGCTGTGAACTACTGGCTCATCTCTGTGGCCGTGCTATGTGTCTCCTTAGGAGTGAGCTTTCTGAACATTGTGGTGCGAATGCTTGAACTCCTGCTCACCTTGTGAAGTTACATGTGCTTTGATCAGAAAGGGACCTGTGGCTACATCATAAGAAAGCGCAGCGGCAGCGTTTGCTAGAAGGCTGTGGGCACAGAACGAATGCGCTGCAGAGCAGGAAGAGATCAATACTGGAGAAACAGCAAGCAGAGCTTGGGGGAAGGAGGCGGGGGGAGATCTGCCAGGTGCTGCAATGCCTGTAGTATGGGTCATGCTGAATGGTGCTGCAGGATCAGGACCGCTGGGCCAATGACTCAGTGCTGTATAGCTCAGTAAGTGCACAGCACAGAAGGTCACTGAGGGTGGGACCGGCGTCTTCAGGACTGACACCCAGATGTGACTGCTTCCTGTGCAGATACTGCATGAGAGCTGGGGAGAGAAATGGTGATCCAGCTCAAAACTGTGGAGTGAGGCTAGGGGAAGAGGGTGAAGTGGGGTGGAGCCTGGCTAGTGCTGCAGAGGTGCCCCATGGTGCTGCTGTGGGATCTCTGAGGGCACTGGGACAGGCACTCTCAACCATTGCTCTGGTTCAGCCTTTCCAGTGGCTGGAAAGGATGAGCCAGAGCAATGGCTCACACTCTTCTGTCAGCACATAATTTTTTTTCCACTTACTGACAGAGTTTTGCTCAGGCCATACAATGGAGATCACAGACACCAGTGATGCTGTGTCACAGCCTATGCTGTGGTTCCTTCCAGAGCCAGAAAAATGCCCTCAGGTGGTGCTGGTAGCCTAGTGCTGGGTGACTGTCCCCAGTGCTCCTGATCCTCTGTGGGGTGCTCATACCTGGGCCCTGGCTCCGTCTGTTGGAGTGCACAGCCTTTCCCCGTTGCAGGCTCCAGCTCCAGGCTCCTGGCCCTCGGTCAGGTCTTCAGAGGGTGCTTCGCTCCCGCTTTCCACAGCCTTTTGGCCACTTTTTTCTTAAAGACATAGTGATACCTCCTGAGGAGCAGTGCCACTAAGGCTAGAGCTCTGTGCTTTCTGTTGGCATTAGATTGCTAGTGCATTGTGTGCCAAAGCAAATCCCTTCTTAAGTGACAAGCCTGGGAAGCACTGTTGTTCCTCCTGTCCTCAGCGGGGACAGCTGCAGCTCTGCTCACACTGACACGCGGGAAGGCAGTGCTAGTGCACGCTGGAGTGCCTGAGCGCTGCATTTCCAGGCCTTATCAGCATGGGCTGCTTGCAAATTCAATTCTACCTGTCAATTTTCAGCCCTCTAGCACTTTGTCTGTAGGTACTTAGGTATTTTTGTTACATTTCTCAGAATTCCCTGGTGTTTGCTCTAACTTTAAACTAAGGTGTGGTTTTCATTTTAAATTTGGGAATACACACGGATTCAGTCCCCAGGCTGTATGTGAGCCAGCACATCCTGTGATCACGTTACTCTGACGCATCTCTCTTTACAGGCTCTTTCTGTGTCACTGTGAGAAGAATCATTTCACCTCTGTTCTGTCCTCTCTAAAACTGGCATGGTGCTGTCCTTCCATGCTCCGTCTACCTCAGGATCCTCAAAGGGTAGGATGCAGGGGACAAGAGCAGAGCAGTAGGTTTTGTCAAGTTCAAGAAAGCAGCAAGTAAGGTAAGACAGGACTGTCTGTTCTATGCACAGCCTTCTGGCTCCTGTTAAGGCAGCAGTGATGTTGCTAGCTAAGCAAACCCCAGACTGGTGTGTCCTGAAAGGTTTAATATCCAGGCACGTCAACCATCTTTTCTTTAGTGGGAAGTACCTTTGGGGCTGATTAATATAGCTACCTGTTAGAAAAAAGATTGCCAACCAATTCAGGCTACCCTATGAGATCCTAAATGTAGCAAACAAGATTGTATTTTGTCCGATGACATTGCTCAACTCCAAACACTAATACTGAAAACATGTGCAGAGTATACTTTCTTGTGCTGAAATGGTCTGTGTAACTCACCTTTGTTGCGAGCTTCACCAAGCCTTTCTGAGAGAGAGAACATCATTTCACAAACATCCCCGCTGCAAGAGACAGAAGCTGTATAATTAGTGTGAGGAATAAGAGCAGTAGCCTATCCTACTTGGCCACCTTTTTATAGAAAGACAAGGCTTGATGGGAAGCTCAATAAAATAAATTGGTATTTCAGATGGCCGAGGACCTAGCTGCAAACTATAATGGGATTAGCATTTATGTATTCAGGCAAAGCCTGATTTAATCATAATGGTTTGGTACTAATACCTCTTCAAGTAAGTATAACAAAAGAATTTATGGTACTTAGGGGCTTGGGTCCAGGCCCCCACTGCATGGCATGCACATACGAAGCAGTAACATTCACATACCTGTGGATTTCTGCAAAACCAGGTATATATGCCTCCATCATTTCCACAAAGGTGTCCATATCAAAGGTCTCCTCAGAAGACTCTGGTGAACCCAGCTCTTCCAGGACACCCGTAATGTAAGAGAAGAAAACATCATCCATCCCACTGAAGAGAGAGAGAGAACACAGGACATAGCAGCAGCATCAATCGGCCCATTTTTTCTCTCTCCATCCCCATTCCCCCTAACCTTGTGTCTTTCTAATACAGCAGCAGAAGAACTTATGTGGACTGTATCTTACAGGCAGATCCCACCAGTAAAACCAGGTAGCAGGTGGTCAGCGGTTAAGTGGGAAACGTTTACAGTTAAAATACTGCATGCTGTCCTCCTTCCTGGGCAGCGCTGGATGGAAGCCCCAGCATGTGCCCAGAGGCTGTGCTTCATCTGAGCTAACCAAAATATTCCAAGTGCTCAAACCCTGACATTTCTACACTGACTGGTGTTTCAGGAGAGGTCAGCGTAGTCTGTCAAGTTGCAATTTCTATGGGATGCGGTGTTCTCTACTTGCTGCTCTCCACATTTGTGCCTCTGCTGCCACCGGCTGCAAAACCAGCTGCTGTGTTCCAGCCTCAAGGTGGCTGTATCTCTGCATGCAGACAGAGTTCAAAACAGGGAGAGTCCTGACATAGCATTATGCTGCTCAGAAAGCCCTTTGGGAGCACTATGGAATGAAGGGAATCCCATATTCTAATGTGTATTGCTGGACAGGAAATTAATCATCTTGGTTGTCAAATAAATGACATTGCTAGATTGCAATGCTAAACGATAGTTCTTCAAGCATTCACATCAGAGTCTGTGCAAATTACCTGCATCCTGGATTGGATTTAAGGCAAAGCGACACAAAGCACAGGGAAGCTACAAAGCTCCACTTGGAGTTCAGTATAATGTGCAGAGGGACAATTAGCACAGAGATCAAGCTAAAACAATTATATTGATCCTCCTATCTCAACATACCTGAGGTCTGCAGCAGGGATGTGGGACTGGATGAAGCATGTCAGTGTGTCTCGAATGATTCTTTCAAGCTCCATGTCTCTCTAAACCTTTTTCTCTAAAAAAGAGGAAAGAGAAAACTCCATGTAATTTCAAAGGCAAGGAGGAGATCGAAATATCAACACGATCAAAAGGTAAGCGTGTCATAGGCAAGTGTACTCTTCTCACCAGAACAATTCATTAATTCCTCCAATGTGTCCTGTCATCCCTGGGTAACAGCAGGCAAGACATCCACAAAAAGCAGCAGTGTAAGGATCACTGGAAATACCAGCCCAAAGCAGCCCAATCTCTTGTGGCTCTCCTGTTCCTGTTCTTTCTGGCAGTATGCAGCTGTGCTGTACATTTAAAATGTCCCTTCCAGGAAGCAAAGCTGGAAATGCAGATGTGTCCAGCTGCAGGAACTCAAAGACACCTCCTAAGCTGGAATGCTGTGCTGTCTGGCAAGGAAGCAGCTGGTAGTGGGTTTGCATGCTCAGTGCAGAAAGGGGTGGACCTTCCAGCTAAGAGCATTCACAGTGATGCATGGACTCAAAAACAAGTGGGAGGAAGGGTAATGTCTCCTAAAGAAAGGACAACCTAGAGCGTATTTTACAGGGAAATACCAAGCAGGGCACAGACAACTAGTCTGCCAGCCAAAATATCAAAGGTCTCCAGTTCAGGCATGGACTGCCAGTGGAATCCTGCCCAAACAGGAGCCCCTTGTTGTGCTTGGTAAATGAGCCATTCTGCAGTTGATGCAGCTGCAACAAGGGGCGCTTGATAACCCAAAACTCAGGGGAGTTCTAAGAATCACAGAGCTCCTACAGAAGCAATGGCAGAGGGGGGCTGCCCACAGCCCTCCTTCAGCTACCAGTACTAGGCCTGGACTGAATTGGGTGGAGAAAAGCCATTCCTTAACCATTCCTTTCCCCTTGGGTCTACAAAGCTGCTGGGTGAACAAACTCCTGGTGTAAGCACAGAGTTCTTCCCAAGGAAGGAAACTAGCCCTGCGTATAGAGAAACTGATGCGGTCATCAGCCAGCGAGCTTCCAAAGGTCATCATGCTCCCACCAGTGCGGCTCCCTCATTCCAACCACACCAACACCAAGACCTGTCCAGGTCTGTTTGACGCAGACCTTACAGAGCAGTCGTGCAAGTTGCTGCTGAGAGACGGCTCCCATGGGAGTGAAAAAGGTCTGGCATTTCCAGAGATGAGACTTCCAAAGCTAGCAGGATACAAAGAAAAACCACCCCGTGGTGCTCAGCACTGCTCCTGTGGGACCTAGAGAGACCCAAAGCCCAGCAGCCTGTTGGCAGGTCCATCTGCAGTCTCAGAGCCCGTCCAAGCTCTGCGCTGCATGTGGCCACCACTGCAGGTGCCAAGAGCACACATGCACTCCTCTCTTTGTGACTGGCCCGGGGAGCACACCCCAGCCAGCCCGCCCTCCCTCTGGCTATGGTCACGCTGAGGCTCTAGTGACTTGACTCTCAATATTGAGGGAGAAAGCTGTGACACGGGCGTACGCAAAAGTGCTCTGCTGGGTATATGGCGCCCCATGCTGCATCTCCCTACAGTGATTCCTCATCACATATTCCCAGCCTGTGCTCCTCTGCTCTTCAGGACTTTGAACAGATGCGAGTTTTGCTGCCTGAAGGACCACCTCTTACTGAATCCCTGTGCCAGTACCTTTTCCTTGGGGCAATAGGGAGACAAATACAGAAAGAACCTCACAGCAGCGGGACACAAACAGTGAGGCACACTCATACAGAAGAACTGCCCCAAATTTCACTGTGTTCAAAGCTAAATGCAAAAGCCATCTAATCACCTAAACTTTCCTGCAGCTACTGTTAGTATCAGCCCTCCCACTGACCTAGATCCAGTAACTAAAAAAGAAACCAAGCCTTTCTTTATATGTATCTCTCACTTGGGGCAATGAACGATGAGTTAAAAATGCTGTAGCACTATATGACCAACATACATGTACTCAAACACAGCACGTGCAGAAACAGCCAGGGGAAGGCATACTCAGAAAGGATTATTTATTTGCTGTTCATGTCTTAAGCTAAAAAGTTTCTTTGCTTCCTCTAATTTCAATTAGAAAATTCCCATTTCACAGCATTAGAGGAGAACAACAGCCCAGACTTTTTCAGGTGGGAGCTCTTCATGCAAACATCTCAAGTGAGCTCCTGATCTTTTATTTTTCAGTCTCACGAGGACCCTTTGTTTGCATTTTTCTCATTTTTGCAGATGCCGTGGCCTGCAAGTGTGGAAGCTGTCTGTAAAAACAACCATGTGTAAAAATACCTTCCAGCTCCCCATTTGCTCTTTCTGTGTGTTTTCTGTGTTCTGTAGTGGTGTGACAGAACCGAGTTTATCTTTGTCATCTTTGCAACATACCCAGAAAACAGGTGAGCTTTGTTCTACCCTTCTCAGATCAAAAAGCCACTGGTAAGATTTTGAGTCTAGCTGTTGGCAAGAGTACTATCCTAAGCAGCATGTTTGTCCCACATTTTGAGCTGAATCTGCAAATGTTGGCAACCAGGGATGGAAAATCAGCATATAGCAGTCAAAATGTTTTTTCTACCATCAAGAAGAATGCTTATTTCCTTTTTACTCAGACACATCCTGGGAACCGGAAGTCTAAAAGATTTTGTCCATTTGCATGAAACAGGCCAATGTTCTATAAGAGATAACTGTAGAGTAACCAATAACATTTCCTGACAACCCAATTACCTGAACAACAGAGCACAATTCACCATGTCAAAGGCACTTTTGCGAGGTCCATAAATTAGCTGCTGGTAATTTATTCTGATCAATAGAACAGGAAAAGTCACTCATCTCCTTAATCAAAGGCACTTGCAGGCAAGTGTCAGACTGGGACAAGAAAAAAGTAATTCAGCAACAGGAGTGTCGTAGCTACGGCCAATCACTAACTGGTCTTGAATCCACTCCCCAACCTCTGACAACCACAAAAAATGCTGCTGTGAAGTGTTTGAAAATATTCAGGTGTTTTCCTGTGGAGCTACCACGCTGTATCTGAGCAAAAGCTATTTCCTTGCGTCTGTGAGTGGAAAGAAGGTGGCAGGTTTTAACCACTGGGTATAAATTCTCTCTGGCATCTCAGACAAACTCATCCACCAGCACACTCAGATTTAAGGTTTACATCCAGGGAAAGCAAGCTGCCACCTTCAGCCTGACTTTGAAGAAAGGAAACCCTTTAAGTGACAAAAGCACAGTCTTACACTGAAGGACAGAAAGCAGCTAGGTGATCAAGTATTTCTTCAAAGGTCAGCCATCATCCTTTCACCTGAAGAACCCAACTCTGCTCCTATAAAACCAGAGGCACCAAGACAGACAAACACACTCGCATTTGGTCATTTATTGCCACAGGGGAGAGATTTTATTCCCCAGTAAAGAGGGAGATCTTACAAAACTTAACATCTGGGGGATCTGTACTGCACAATGGTCTTGGCCAGATGGGGCTTGTGGAGGACAAGTCCTGAAGGTCCTCTGGCCTTTCAGATTCGGTGGGTATTTTCTTGAAATAGAGGGCGCTGATTAAAAACCTTTGTACAAACATTCTGAAAGAGATTCTTCAATGAACAAACTGATGTTGCTGCATGTTCCTCCCCACAAAGCTGAGTTTAGAATTGTGTAACTCAGGACACCAAACCACCCTATGAATTATACCTTCAAATGCAACACACTTCCAGTGGTGACCTGCAATAGTTAAGGGGGAGATTTACTAGAAGGGCTTATCCTACGTGCACAGTTTTGTGGAGGAGAGATTTATAATGCACTGAACGATCTGAAAGCCAAAGGCAGAAGAAATCACTTTCCTGAGCGCTCAATTTTTACTGAAAAGGTGGCATCATGGCTTTAAACTTCCAGCCGTAATTGCACTGTGGATTTTAAGATCACTTCAGTAGTTGTCAGGTTTATGAAAGTCCTTCTGCATTTCTTGTCATTACAACGTGGATCTGCTTAACATGTTGCACAGAATCTCTTTTTTAAAACATACAGTCAAGCAATGGTATTCCTATTGCTCTGCCCTCAGCTATAGCCTCACAGTTTTGCACTGGCAGAACAAGAGACCTTCAACCCTTGGAAATCCTTGTCACTTTTCAGACTGTCTTGAAACACAGGGGTTTATTATTAAAGAGTGAGCAGTGGAGCAGTGTATGTCATCACATTACGACAGGCTTGGTTTGAAATATCAGGAGTGCTTACTTGATCCACATATCACGTGGCATACTTATTTCTTCACCTCAGGCAGAGAAAAGTGGTATCAGTTCTTAGAACGTGAATGTGAAAATTATTCATCATCTGTACAAGGTACTTTGGCCAGCAGCTCAACAGAGTTTGCCACCCTACTGTCTGTCTTGAGAACCTGGTAAACTACATCACTCTTGATCTTCCTTCCTAACATGTTAATGTCAAATTTGGGGTATTTTTGTAAAACAGCTGCAGAAATAATACCCCTCCAAAAGTACCATCATCCTTGGGGTGCCTGAAATACCTACTTATGCTATATTCAAAAAATGTTGCCTACTTTTCAACAATTCATATGAATCTGCCTTCCTTAAAAAAAAGGGTGAAAATCTGGGATGTTTGCATACAGCTAGATCATTTCAACTCAGACTTCAGTAAGCATTCTCAAATGGTTGATGGGATGGGAATGATTGATTGTGCCTTGGACCTTATATTAAGATAGACTTCAGGAGAGCAATTTAGGAAAATGTTTCTGAGCCAAGAGGAACTGCCATTCGGATGTATATCAACTTTTACGAGATCAGAAATTTGCCTACCAATGAGCTAAGGTTTCTGCAAGTGGAAGGAGATGGGTGTTGTACGCTTTGGCTGTTTCTCAGAACAGGGTAGAGAAAGTTTAGGTGAAACTGATTCAGCTGAGGGATCAGCTAAAACACCTCGAGAGGGTTCCTTTAGGTCAAGTTTCAGTAATCATTCTTAAGCAAGTAATGGGACAGGGATGGTTCACTGTGCACTCTCCGAAAACTTGTTATGAGAAAGCACAGAGCATGTCTCATACAGCTCTGTGCGCGTCTGCGTGCCTGTGCTTGGGGAATTGCAGACCCCTGGGATATAAGGAGCCGTCAGTGTAGCCTGAGCTATATAGCCTCAGAGGAAATCTCTCAAAAGCCAGACCTGCAGGACAGTGTGAGCTGCAGCTATATTCCACTGACCTGCTTTACCTCCTGAAACTTTGCTGGCTTAAAATAAAACTTTCCAGGCTGAGTAACACCTTACAGACGTAATTTCATTGCTCCCATTTTTTTGTTTTGCTTGCTAAAGAAGTCCCTGAAAGGACTTTTCATGGTGTGGTTGCCATGGGAAAGCAGGCTGAGATCGCTGTGCATGTTAACACCATTAACTGCTTAGTGCTCTAACATTACAATAAGGCTTTCGTTAATAACTTAGCCCCGCTAAATTACAGTAATAGAAAACAGTAATGCCAGCAGCCACTCTTCCCTCCACCTGAGAGCTACACTGGATGGGTGCTCTGCTGACACGGGACCCTTACCTGAGCAGGAGTTATCACCTGTGTTCACGGCCGGTGTTTACCAGTGACTTCAGTGCCCGCAGAGGAGTTGACGGCCCATCCTGTGAGTGCCTGGCCCAAACCAAGAACGAGGGAGCCCTTTATGAGACAGGAAAGCTGAATTAGTTGGACAGGGAGCACAACCGAATCATTCTCAGTATGTCGGCATCTTTATGCTTCATGTCACTTGGGACTCTTTCC